CCCGAAAACGTGATAGCCAATTATTCTTAATTCTGCAGTGATGTAGCCATAAATTATCTTATGTAACTCAATTGAAGTACGGGATTGAATATCCACCCCGCTAATGTCTCTCAACGGCTACCCTTCTAACCTTATGTTCAGTTTATTCTCATACGCAATACAACTAATTAATCCCACATGCAACTTTTAAATGCTCTCTAGTCGACCCCCCCTAACAATAGTTTATTATGGCATTGTACGCTAATTTGTCTGGCACTAAGCCAGACTTAAGGACTTAATTAAAAATTTGACTTAAATGCATATGCACGCTGTCAATATTCAAAGCAATCATTTATTATTATTATTATTACTATCTACGCCAAATAAAACTAATCAGTATCACTTAAAGCATCTAAATATACCTCCTCGCTTCGTCTCTAGCTATTGTTTGCTATCGCATTTTACGCTAATTTAAACAAATTTGCCAAATATTACATAATTTGCATAAATATACAAACTTAGATTGTTTACAAATACCGCCGCCATTAGTTATGCGATTAGCGAGCATGGGAAAGGTCAAAGCGCCTAATATTATGCAAGTAAATTAATTTATCCACATTAATTAGCAATAATACAGACATTGTTACAATGAAGGATGGGGAGATATTACAATGGAGTTATAAATAAATATGTATGTATGTACATAATTTAACTTGCACTTGCAACTGCTATGTACTAAATACCTATCTAGCCATACAGACCTACTATACTTAAATATATAAGTATACATATTTCCTATTTAAGGCTAGCAATAGCTCTGCTTATTGTTTGGTAATTGAAAGGACGTTGTGGTAATTATATGCCAATATTGCCAAAATAAATTGGCTGATTGGTGAACAAATTTCAAAAGTTATTACTGGAAGCGGTGGCGCAGCAGTTGGGTAGCGAAAGTTGAAAAGGAGAAATTTGCTGCCTCGCTCGCTAGCTGCACTGTATGGTTGTGTGTGCCTGTTTGTATGAGAGTCGACTTTGCATATTCATAAGCCATATGTACATACATACATACATGCATAGCTGCTGGGAAGCTTGGGACCGATTTTGAGCATGAAAAGTTTTTTCTATTTAATTATAAATTTAATTAAGTAAGCAAATATTTTCATACAACGTAAAATAATAATGTCGATGTTTTTGCAAACCCGCCCATCGCCCAATTGCAAAACCCACTATCTTACGGCATTCAAATTTTATAGGAGAGCGAAAAAACCGTTTATTCTTTGAAGGCATTGCCTTGATAGGCGGTATTTTCTCTAGCTATTATTTTACAAATCTGTTGTTTTAATAACGACTTAACGATTTTTATATGCCGGAAGTTCAGGGTTACCAAATCTCATTTTTGCCACAAAGGCGATTTAGGCGGTTTAGCAAAAACATCGACGATAAACAAAAAATAACAACATGCAACAACAATAGCAACAGCATTAGCACAAAGTCAACGTTTTTCATCAAAGAATTTAAAAAGATTTTACATAGTGCTGTGCATAACGCATCAGCTGGGTGCCTCAAACAATGAAGGAAGGCTATCTGTATGGATGTTGAGATAGGGCTGGTCATTCTGCTAAAGTGAAACAAAAATGGTTGCAGCAGAGTGCCCGTTAGTTAGCATGCAAAGCACAGGAATAGATAGGGAATTAAATGGCAACCTGTAGGGGATTTGACTGGTGTTGAATAGATGTGCTGTCGATGAACATTGACTTATGTATTCAGGCAACTTTTAAGATCAGTCAATCTGGTACTTGAGATCGAATTAATTCCCTAAGGGATAAAAAATATACCGTCTTGCTCAGAAAATTATACTAAATACTTATTAGAATAAAAAATTTTCTCTCCAGCTTTTTCAGAAAATTCTTATAATTACTTAATCACTGTTTTCGTTTTTTAGTGAAAGAAATTATGTAAATAATTTCAGTCGGAGGTACATAGTACTACACTACGACTAATCACTTTCCCGTAATCGATTGCTAAATTGACTGATTCATTTTCTTTTTGTCTGAAATATGAACAGGGAATTTTATTAATCATACGCCATTTATACCCGCATTTAATAAAATTTAATAAGAAAAGAATAACAATCCTTTAGGGAATCATTTCAGGTTAAACATAAAAATTGTGCCACATCGTTTTTAATAAGCTGGAACTCTGATTTTAAATTTTTTTGTAATTGTTTTTCAATTCACTTGTCTCTTTAATAGTCAAATCAGCTAAACGAGTGCTAAAGTGTGTAGTTTTTAGGCTCCTCAAAGCTCTTTTATTATGACGCATCAACCATCATAGTTTGCCGCATTTGCCTAAAATATAAAGTTCAAAAAGATAATTTAACTATTTTTACACTTGTGGCCACGCAAAACTTACTACCACTTAAAAAAATTAGCAAGAATTTTGTAAATTAATAAAAAAAATATTGTTATTTTTTAAACGTAGTTAGTTCACATTGTAATTAAAACTATATACATACATAAAAGTTTAAAATTTTGCACAAAATTTAGAAAAAATCATAAAATTTCCATCAAAATTTTAAGCTTTTTGGTCTAAATTTTTAGGAAAGTACTGGTTGAATTTTGAAAATATTTTTCGTAGAAAAAACTACACAAAAAACTACGACCACCGGCAAAAAAAAATCAAAAATCACAGAGCAGTTGGAGCCGATAAAAAAATTGCCGGTATTATACTAAAATTAAAATTATCGTAAACATTTTGATTAAAAAGTTTAGCTTTTAGATGAAAATTTGATGCATTTTTCTAGACTCTGTAAAAAGGTTTCAAACTTTTATTCATATAGTTTTTGTTACAGTGTAAACTATTAAAAAACATTTATTTTTTATTGATTTACAAAATCCCATCTAATTTTTAAAAAAAAGGTAAATGCGCCTGGGTCACACTGTGGAAGGGAAACTTATGTTCCATATCTAGTTTGTCTCATAACATACATATGCATTTCATTGGTTCAAAATTGTTAATTATAACAACTGGCTAGTTATTATAATCTTATAAGCTTTAGGATATATTTTATCTCTTTTCTATCTTTGTCCCTACCTATACCCTTTTCGTTCTAACATCGATAACGTAATCGATTCAATATCGATCACAAAATCGATTAAAATATCGATAACAAAACTGATTATTATAGCGGCAAAAATATCAATAACAATATCGATAAATATGTTCATAGATATATCAATAAAAAATATCCGCTTTCTTATATCGATAAAAATATCAATAAATATATCGATTATTAGACCGACAAAAATATCTATCAATATATCGATAACAAAATCGATTATCGTATCGATAAGTATATCTAAACAAACAGTATCGATAACAACATCGAAAAATATAACGAAAATTAAGAAGTAGTCTCGAAAACCTCGAAATAGTCCCGAAAATCTCGAAGACTTGAAAATCTTCGACCTCGAAATCTTAAAAACCTATTTAAGTGTTTCCACCGTTATCTGATACCAATATTTCAATATTTTACTTAACTCAAATAACTTTCTTAAAAATTTGAATTCACAAACAGGTGGCAACACACCTTTTTTATCTGACATCTATGTTGTAAATTTTTTTAATTAAAATTTTTAGTAAGCGGCAACTCTGATAAAAAATATGTAGTAGGCGTATTCTTTTAAATAAGAAAAAATCTCGAAAAGCTCGAAAAGTTTCAACATTTGCCTAGCAGTTAAAATTTGTATGAAAATTACTTTCGAGCTCTATTTTTATAAATTAATGCATTTAACAGGCTCCCCAAGATATTTCTTTGTAAGCAGAAAGTAAACGAAAACTCCATTTTGACCACTTTCCGACTGGTTTCAATTGCATTAGTCTATGATTTAGAATTTTATTCTACTAGCTATATACATGATTCAGAGAATTTCCCTGTAGGAAACAGCCCCCACGCACAAATACACACGAAGTAGAGATAAGCCAGTTAGGTATCTGTGTGAGCACTGGGAATTTAATTGAAATGCCCGCAGCGTGCGGATACTACAAATGGGCAGCCCGGGACGGGGTGGGCTGACGAAAGTCTGAAATTAAGACACACAAAAATTCAACGAAAGCAAAATAAGGGCAGGCACGTTGCCTAAACAAAATACGATATACCCAATTATGTATTAGCATAAACAAACAAGTAAAGCCGAATGAAGAGTAAACA